TAAAGAACCCGAAAACTAATTCAAAGTTGTACTGTACTTTTATTGAATCAACAACTAGTATCGTGAACACATAGCAACCACATCCAAAGTTATCAGATAAAAGCATGTTCAGAACAGATCCAGTACAATGCTCTTTATCTACATCGCCTTCCCAGAGCATATCTCGAGATTTATCCACGCCAGTAAATATAAATTTTCTGTGCAGTTACGAGCATCTAACTGCTCGATAAATAACTGTTGTGACTCAATAACTAGAGATTGTTTATTGACGATTTCTTTTACAGTAGCAAATTCGTTTTCTATTTGTACAATTCTTGTCATGAATTTATTCACATCTTCGCGTAGCCCTTAAATCTCCTTAATTAACACGTCATTAGAGGTACTAACTATGTGTGATTTCTGAATAGTCTCATTCAGTACTGCGCGTGTTTGCTAAGCTGTTTCTGGTCCATTGACCTAATCTCGCTTAACGATGACATACCGTATTTGCATACAGATGGACGGCTAACAATAGCACCAGCCGCGTAAGCTAACGCAGGTGGTTCAAGTTAAGACAAAGGCGTACGTCTTGGCATATTGAAGCGGATTTAGTCCGGTGAACAACATACACAGGGCTTAGAACATAACGCCAGTATTTCACTCTACAGTAAATCACTGGAAATGTTAATTACGGGTACCACAGTAGTAATCACAGGTTCCTATCGTAGCAAATTAGGAGATACAAACCAAATTTCACAAATAGTAAGAACTGAGAGACCTATTGCTTGCAAGCACTAATTGTCGCCATGCCTGATACTTACATCCAATCAATTTAGTATTGACGATCGTTGATGATTGGATTGGAAATTGGCTGTCATGCTGGTCTCAACAAACTACTTTCAATTGTGTTTTATCGGAGTCGTCCAGGGAACTTGGCCCATCCTTAATTTTACGTTTTAGTAATGATGTTATTGGACGCCTTCGTTGTTATACTCCCTTATTTACTGACGATTCCATCTTTGTATGTTCTCTTAAAGATTCCGCCATGATTATCTGCCCACCGCTGCCTGTCTGCTTCAAAACTGGTCACAGCAAAATGATCTTACCTTCTCACCATCCGAAAGTCAACTAATGGATTTTTGGTGCAAATAACCTTTTTCTTTCTCCTATCTCTCTTTGCAGTTCAGTTATAAACACGGTTCATCATTTAGGATAGGAATAACCATAACACATGATATTAAATGGAATGCCCAAATTTTATTTTCCTATAAATCCGCTCCTTGCCAAAATCATTGATCCCACTGCTTCTTCTTCTAACTGCATCTCCTCACTTCCTTTGATACCCGCCACATTCTTTCCTTTTGACATTAAAATCACTCTTTTTATGTAGGCTCAAATTGCATTGTTGTAAATTACCCCTTGTATATATTATATGTTTTGTATTTATTGTTCATGTTTGGCCGGATATTAGCCCTAGATAACTCATGTAGCAATAAAATTTGAAATTGAAAAAACAAATTGAAAAATATTGGTATATTATTTTCATTTTTCTTTTCAGGAGATGCGCGGAGGTGTAGCGCATACGAATCAATAACTTGTGTTAATAACGCATCGTGTGAGTAGATGACTGTTGAAATTACTCTTAATAGTGTTACCAAGTTGTATGCTAATTATTATCATTATTCGAAAATTATTTCAAAATTATTATTATCATTATTATAATCATCGTCACCGTCACCGTCACTGTCACCGCCACCACCACCACCACCACAAACGCCGAACCACCACCGCCAATCACCGTCATTATCATCATCATCATCACCACCAACACCAGTACCATCATCAGCACCATCAACATTATCATCATCATCATCATCATCACCATCACCATCACCATCACCATCACCATCACCATCACCATCACCATCACCATCACCATCACCATCACCATCACCATCATCATCATCATCGTAATCGTAATCGTAATCGTAATCGTCATCGTCATCGTCATCGTCATCGTCATCGTCATCGTCATCGTCATCGTCATCGTCATCGTCATCGTCATCGTCATCGTCATTCGTCATCGTCATCGTCATCGTCATCGTCATCGTCATCGTCATCGTCATCGTCATCGTCATCGTCATCGTCATCGTCATCATCATCATCATCATCATCATCAATCTAATTGTTATTATAGTAATATTATTATTTTTATACGTATATTATCTAGCGGATTTCATTAACAAAGAGAGGAAATGTGACTGTCCAACAGCCTGTACGGTTAACATTTATAACGTAAGAGTTTCTTCCACGTACTGGCCATCGACTCACGTCACGGAAATCAAGGGAATTACAGATGTTGAAGCCAGGTAAAGTAAGAGAAGAGAATCCGAGCAGCTAAATTACGTAATCACGGTGTTCATGCCCGTTTTCATGCTTTTCTATCACAATAGACCTTTCCACTAGGCCCCATCCTTGGATATTGTAGCAAGGAAGGTCCCTCAAAACGACAGTGCGTTTGTGGGACAACAAGTGTAGTTGTCAGACGCGCGCGTCTTCTTGGCCCTGTTCTGATTGGTCTGTTGAAGTTTGATTTTCACTCCAGATAGGTACATTGTATCATTAGCTCGTGCATAAATTACTAATAATACTTATTCGCTTAAGTGCTTTGTACTTTTCCCACTGTAGGTCGATTTATTATATATAAAATAAGTATTGTTAAAATGACTTTAGTGCTGATACACAATAAAGCGACTTAGGGAGGAAAAGCAATAATTATTTTTATAAGTGAACTAAGAAATTGATGGCACTGATCTATTTTAGAAAAAAAGGTGTTTGCCTGTAGTTATTTTAAAGAAAAATACCTAATAACTGGTTAACAAGATTTTTCTCATAGTAGACCCTTTTTTAGCATCAGTGCGTAGTCCTTAAGTTTCATTGCAGTAGTGAATCAAGAAATTCGTAATAGAGGTGGGGTGGGGAGGGGGGAGGGAAGGCTCATGAAGAGACTTTTATAGATAGAGGGTCCACCAACCTCACCCTCATGTTTAGGGCATAGGTAAGAAATAATGATTATGGCACTTTTATAAATGTCCGGGAAGCGATTTTTTTTTCGTGAAGAGCCAAGCTTAGGGAAACATATAAAGCGCTCTGATTGGCTAACGATAAGATGACATCATCGCACAAGAGTCAACCAACTCACACTCGAATACATAGTTGCCATTTCTGGCATAATTATGCTTTTTGGCATAATTGGAGGGCCACGGCATCTGGCATTATGCCGCGGCATAATTTAGGCGTTTTTAGCATAATTTCTTGTTTTTTTTTGGCATAATTTCATGTTTTGAAAAACCAAAAAATATATCCGAGGAAGAATATTTTTTTTCTTAAAATTTTGGGCGATCTCGCACATATCATCTCGTACATGTATCATCTCGTACACATAATGGTAACATGTAACACCGTACTCGCACGAATAAGCGCCCCGTTTGAATAAGCGCCCCAAATAACCGCGTGAAACGTGAAAATTTCCTTAAGCGCCCCGTTTGAATAAGCGCCCCCTCATAAGATTTTCTTTTTAGCAAGTCAAAAATCCAATCAATCATGGGACTGTGGTTGTTGGCATGATTTGAGCTGTAGAGTTGAAACACATTCTTTTAGTCAATATCAAAATAAGGATATTTCTCTTGGACAGATGAGAGCTCCGATCCCTAGACAGATGAGAGCTCCGATCCCGGGACAGACAGTATTTAATCTTTTTACATATTTGTCTATGTCTAGTCCTATTCCTCTTTTTCTTTTTTCGACCTTAAGCACATTCTCATCTGAGTTTTCAAGAAAAATACAATGATCCTGCCATCCTGCTAATCTCAACCGGCCGATGCCCAACAAGCTAACCACTACCCACCTCTAATTGCATCTGCTATTTTGCTGTTATGTAAGTATTCACGCATTCTTGTTATGAGCCATGTTCTCTGGACGATAATCTTTTCTAACCACCATTCGTAATGTCCTTATATAATCTTTTTTTCGTCAATTTTTAATTATTAAAATAATTTCCCATAAGAACCCCTCGATTTTCATCTATTTCCATAAGCGCCCCCTCAATTTCCACTGTGTTTTCATAAGTGCCCCGTTTAAATAAGCGCCCCGTTTGAATAAGCGCCCCTCAGAAAGCGCAAAAAATATTTTAGGCGCCCGGGCGCTTATTCGCGGGAGTACGGTAATCAATAACTTCACTGCTACCGGGTGTGCGATAGGCAGCACACGTAACTGAGGTCTAAAATTCACCAATTATGTTGCTCCATTTGAGAGATCAGGCCGCTTATTGGATCCCCAGATAAGTAGACGATTTGGACGAAAACATTATGAACAAAGGGGTATTTTTTTAATTACATAATGCAGTAGTAATCTTTTTGTTTATCTTTTGTTTTTGTATGCAAGTACTCACCTACTGATAATATATACCATCATCTCATCATACGGCATCTCTCATCTTACTACTAGTCACTGATGAAACGCCAATGAAACAAGATAAGATGTCTCAGTCAAATCTTTTGAAGTTTGGCTTTAAGAACAGTCAATATGACGGTAACTTTCACTGCCTAAATACACTAGGCATAGGGAGGGGCTTAAGGCCTAACCTATAAAATGCGTCTTTCACAATAAAAGCAGGAAGCTCGAAATTATAATTAATAAGATAATTATGTAAACTCCGGTATAAAGCGCTATATAAATCGAACTACATTTTTTATTCCTTAATTATGTAAATTTTACATTAAGATGTATAACTGTTATAATAAATGAATGCAAGACCCTGTTATCAGTCTGTCTCTTATACACATCTAGATGGGTTTTTACCGGGCTGACCAAGCCGTCGTACCTGGATGGGTAATAAGAGAAAAGAAAGAGAGGAGACTGAGGGAAAGAGAAAGAAGGAGAAAAGGAAAAAGGAAAAGAAAAAGAGAAGAGAAAAATAAAGACAAGAATAAAAAGGAAGATATGATAATGACCAGACTCGCAACACCCTGCAACCCCTTCTCCACATCAAGTATCCATAGCTCCTTTGATCTAAGCCGCCAGATATTCTCCGCAGTGGCGTAACCACCGGGGGACAAGGGAAAATATCCGTCTGTGAAAAATCTTTTCTCACCCCTTTAAGATGCCCCTTTCCCCCTGAAAGTGCCTAAAAATCTCAAATTTCTTGTTACAGTAGGCCAATTTCCTCTAAATATTGCACATTTTAGGGAGTTTTGATCAATTCCGACGAACTTAGAATTAAAAACACAAAATTGTTTGCGCATTTTTGAGGAATTTTTAGGGTTAGCCTTCTAAGTATAGGCCTAATAGTCTCAAACTCAAGAAAGAAAATTTAAGATAGATCGTTTAACCTAAAAGAAGGGCCTCAATGTGTAATGATGGTAAAAGAATATGTTTGTAATAATAAAGCCAGTTTAAAGAAAAACGTGTGTGGCCATATATAACATACGGTAAGCCCTAAACTGAAATAAATAAATATATTTCGCATTTTGGAGAGTAAGAACCTGTGCTTGTCCTCCTGTGCCTTCTAAGTTTATTGAACACATAATAGTCCCAACTCAAATAGAAAGAACATTTAAGATAGATTGTTTTCCCGAAAAGAAGGGCCTCAATGTGTATTGATGGTGAAAGAGTGTGTTTGTAATAAATAAAAAAATGATGAAGGTTTATCCTTTTAAGTTATTTAAACACATAATAGTTCCAAACTCAAGAAAGACAAATTTAAGATAGATCGTTTTAACCAAAAAGAAGGACCTCAATGTGTATTGATGGTGAAAGAATATGTTTGTAATAAATAAAACCATGATGAAAATGCTTATATTTAGTTTCAAACACACGTGTGTGGCCTATATTAAATAAGATAAGCCCTATGTCGTATTGTTTTCTGTATGGGGGTGGGGTGGATATGATAAATTACTAACCGGGAAAACTATTACCTTTGCTACAGCAGGGCATTATGTTCCGCTTGTATATAATCAACTTACTTCTTTTATTTTTTAATGCCCTATTTCAAACAATTAACTTGTAGGCTAAAATAGCAAAAAACTAGGTTTATATCACTAAAGCAGGGCATTAGGTCTTGACCGTTATTCAAGACAGTAAAAAATACTATGGGTTTTAAGATAGGCATATCATGCTAAACGAGTGCACAGATATATACATTATTAAAAGCTTGTTAACTTATTTTTTTATTTCACAGTCATAATGAATATGCACTCATACATTACTTGAATGTTTCAATGATGTGATTCTTTTTAGATAGTTTATGTTTTACGACATATGTAAAAAATTACAAACCGTTCAATAAAAGACAGTGCTCCAGAGCCCAAAAGATTCATAGGCCAAAAAGTCTTGGGCGGATGCTGACCGTGGTGACCGTCACATCCCCCTAAATTGTATTAAAAAAACAAATAGGACTATAGCCTATATTATTTGTAAGGCCTGTTGTATAGGCCTACATACAGAAAAAAAAAAATCCCACCCTACCCCGATTCTCAAAAAAACATCTTATGGGCAATACATAGATTTTTTTCAACCTTTATGGGTGTATATTTAGCGCGAGTAGGCCGCCAATCGGTCCCCGACGAGGGGGCCGATACCCCCGGAGAGGGGTCAGATTTCCCCGACGAAAGCGATGTGGACGTTGTAGAGCTTCAATTAAAATGTTTCGAAAGTGGTCCAGGGGCCGAAGACCCCCAAAATTTTAACAATTTAGGTGTTTCAAGGGCTTATTTAATCGATTTAGAGTCTACTAATATGAAGAAAATACATATAATTTTTTTTCCCCGACGAATTGTGCTTTTTCTCCCCGACTGGGGGGGGGGGGGCTCTGTGGCCCCCTGCTGGCGCCACCCCTGTATGCTTCTGGACGGAACGCTGGTAGATAGACATTGCTAATAGCAGAATGCATAGATCCATCTCATTACTACCTTCAACAGCTAATTCCAGATGAATTCCTAACCAAAATACATGAGCAAATGCACAAAGTAAAAAGCCAGATGTTGTCTATAATGTCAACATAAGTTTAGAACATTTAGGAAAGACACAGTTGGGTAATGGAAGGTTGTGCAAAGAGAACATTGTACTGAAAAATTTTCCACTGAGTACTTCTTGAAAGCAAAGAGAAAGAAAGCCTCCCATAACCTAGTGTATATAGAAAACCAAAACCTTGAAATAAATTATTCTTCTAAGTCTAAAAATGTAAATTACACTCTTTCAAAATAATAGTAATAATTTAAACAGTACCACTTCGGAAAAATAGATATTGCATTATTTATTTAAAAAATAGATAAAGTTTGTGATTGTACTAATGGTCACACATCTGCTTTTCTCACTGTTCTGTACTATTATATTTATTACTGTATTTGTTAGCTAATATTTACAAACACAATTAGGGGTTGCCATAATTTATTAGCTGTGAATTATCTCTGTTAATTTCACACTTTATTATATCATTTATAAGCTGGTTTTATTATTTATAATTCAAGAAAAAAAAGAACAATAAAGAAAAATAACATAAAAGATTAAATATTAATGACTATTTTTATAATTTACTTGTTTCGATTTTTTTAGATGCGCAATTTTGTGCGAGTGTAAATGCACAAGGAGAGAGCAATATATATTGTACAGTAGTGAATAAAGTTGACTTTCCAGCTTAGATTTATACATTTAAAATACAGATACAAATAAAAATACCAACAATATACGTTATATAGTTAATAAAATAGACACCATCAATAAATAATATTCGTACTGCACAGATTCAGAGGAAGAAAGATAAATTGAAGTGGTGCAATACACTAACTGTTATTAATAATAATAATTATTATTACTGTTGCTGTCGTTGTGAATACTAACTTTTGACAGCTTTACACTATTTGTATATTGATTGGCTACCATTAACAGACAAAGATAGATAGGTAAAGGAACGACTTTTCGAATAATAATACTGTGCCTTGTTTAGTGAACATATTTTTGTAGAAGCCGTCAGAGGGAGGGAAGAATTATTTAGCAAAATGATTTTGCGAAAAGCAAAAAAATTTCATTGATATGAATTGAAACAGTGTTGTAATGAGATTGATAAATGCTTCAAATTTTTCTAATTTGTGGATATTTCAGGGGAGTGAAAGCCATAATAAAAATATGTAACACTTTTATGTTTTTCTAAAATTTCTATTATTCGAAATCGCTAACAAGGTACAGTATAACAAAACATTTCTTGCCTAAAAGTCTGTGATCACTAGGGCCTACAAACCCTAGGCCTACTATTAGGCTCTACTATGCAAACGACCTCGTTTGTATTCATAGTAGGCCCTACTACAGTATTTTCTAGGCCTATTGGTAGCAGTGGGTATTAGAGTTGTATGATCAGCTGTGACTATGGTAGCCTACTAAATGTTGTTCCCAATACTGTAATCTGTTACACATATAAAGATCAGGCTTACTGCAATGGATTGTTTGGTTGGCGTGTATGGCATTGCTCTGAGATGTGCGAGATTATGGAACGCCAAAAGGACAAAATACAAGTGGCAGCAGTGCAAAACTGAGAGTCAGCAGTGCAAAACTGAGTCAGAAGTGCAAAACTGAGTAGTGCAAAACAAAGAGTCAGCAGTGCAAAACATAAGTGGCAATGCAAAACTCCAATGGCAGTGCAAAACTCAAGTGGACTCTATTTTAAATTAAGGTTTCACAGCTTTTTTTGGACAGTGTCAACAATGCCTATTTGAAAATGGATGAAATTTTGAGATCACTTGGGCACTCTTTAGTGACCATTGACAATTTTTAAAGGGAGGGGGGTGCGTATAAGAATTAAAAATAATACAAAAATTAAGTGTTTGAAATAATTAATACAAACATTAAGTAGGCTAGGGAGAAGGCTGGGAGAAGGCTAGTAGTAGGTACATGTGCCCGGGCTTGTCAGAGAACAAGGCCTAGGCTTAAGTCTAGTCTAAACATACCTAAATGCCTCGACTTCGTCGGCTTCTCAAGAAACATTTGTTTCCCTAAGTAAATCTGACTTAACTGTCCAAATTTTCTGTCTTTTGTCATTTCTGGTGTCTTTGTTGATCCCCAATTGGTTATCTTTTTTATTTATTTTGATTGCCCCTTGTATCCCTGGGCAAAAGGTGCGGTACAAGTTCCTGTATTGTTAACTAGGCCAGGCCTAGCCTAGGGTTTACGGCCTACCTAGACCTAGGCTAGGCCTGGAATCCGCCGCTGAAATTATAATGTATTTACTGTAACAATAGACACCCTATGCGATTGTTGAGAAGGGTTTATTCGAAGGAGGAGGTGTATGAAGGGAAGCGTTTTTTTTTTTGTGTAAAATGGATAACTGACACCATTTTCGCTAAATTTCAAACGAACATTTTCGAGAACCTGGCATATACCACCTAATTGCCTAGGCATTCCGCAGAACCGGTGACCGATGTCAGACATTCCAACCCCCCAACGTTCAAAAGCGGGAAACATTGATTCTTAAAGCAGGACTTTTTGTTCAAAAGCGGGACACACCGTTATTAACATTACAGATAAAATGTATACATAAAAAAAACACAGTAAATAATATAAAAAAGTATATATACATTATATATAATATATATCCTATATATAT